AGTGTGCAAAGTCAAACTAAAGGGGATGAAGGCAAGGCTCATTACAAAATTTTCACTACCATATCGGCGATCAAGTGGGGGACGGGGTGGGGCGCACGGGGTAGGAACCATCAATTTTACCAACGGAACCCTGTATTTTCCCTTGGTCATATTACGACATACTTCCTCCGTCCCACTATATTTGTCCACTTTCATTTTTGTACACCATCCAATACACTTCTTTAATCCATTTTATTTTGTAATTTGTATATTAAAAAATTATAGAAATTATATATTAATAATCTATATGTTAAGACAAATCAAACAAGATCACGCATGACTATATTTAGGCTTACACATTGAGAAAATTTGATGAGTCAAAGTACTTAGATGAACAGTTCCAAAAGTCAAAAGTGGACAAACAAAGCGGGACGGAGGGAGTAATAAGTAAAGTCAAAAGATTCTTTACATACATACATACATACATACATACATACATACATACATTCATACATACATTCATACATACATACATACATACACACATACACACACACACACACACACACACACACACACACATATATATATATACGGAGTATATAATTTTCTTAGAGTTAATGGTATATTGTGTCATAGTATTTGAAGGCAATCAAATATATAACAATAGAATGGAATAGCATTGACTATGAGCTCTCTTGAAGCCTAGATGTCATCTAGCTGATAAGGGCATAGCTTATGCTTTCACTTATACAAAACATGCAAGAACACATTGTTGAATGAGACAAACATGAAATGAGACTTGAAGGAGGTCCCTTGAAGCACATCTGTAATGAATGTCAAAATACATGCAACTTTTTCTTTATATTTGGAAACTATTGTAGGATATAGGCTGCCAGTGATTGCAAAACCACAGGAAACTTTACCATACTGGCAAAAAACTTTCCCATGCTCTAGTGACCAGCAGAGTAGTATTGCATGGCAACCAGATATACAGACAATAAATAAATGCATCACACGTTTATCATCTCAAAACTGACCTTGCAAGGCTCCTGCGCCAAATTAGAAACGCTTGCCGTTCATTGTTATCAAGCTCTTCTACAGACATTTTACTATTCCAAGGGGGCCTGTAAAAGAAGGATTTAAAATTTTAACCCATGCTTAGAAAAACATACTCAATTTATTTAAAAAGAATTATTAAGTCTTGCCTCCTTGGAACACGAAGACTGCTAGCGTGCAACTCCTCCTCTCTCTTTTGTAACTCTCTCCTCTTCTCATCTGTAACCTCACTTGAGCCAGGATCCCTATCATGAAAATACAGAAATGTGTTCATTAGATAAATTTCACGCAGGTGCGTACTCACACAAACCCGTAACACCTTCTACTTTGTCACTCTATGTACAAATTTGAAGCAAGAACAGCTGTCAACTCCTTTGAATCACTCTCTCACCAGTGAGTGTCAGCACTACTGACTTACAGAAAATTAATAGAATCTCCTGAAAAGGAACTAAACACCCAACCTTTTCTTGTTACCATTATTTTACTTTTACTCTTCTAGACATTCAAACTTCTTTTAACCTTTTTTGATACTTTGGTGCTATGAAGAAGGGGAGATGAACTCCTGAGTTGATCAAAGCTCATTTGCCAATTCTAATTACTCAGAGTAAGCTAAAAATGAAACCTCGTTGAACCTAACACTCGTCCGTCTTTACTTGACAGATTCAATGTCTAGTCAAGGTGAGTTGAAAATTAAACCTCTATGAAACTCCAACAGTCCAACAGAGAACAAGAACCTTATGCAAACAGACTTCATGAATGCGATAAATTTACTTGTTTTTTTGTCATCTCGCAGGATTGAAGGAGAATCAACGAGGAAATAAATTCAAAAAAAGGCTTACAGATTGATGAGAATGTTAGCGGGAGGATGGATGCCGGAAAATAGGCGGTGTGCCTCATCGGCCTGATCGATGACTGCATCTATGTCGTTAACCTCGGTGACGGATTCGAGAACCTTCTTGTGCTGGTTCCGGTAGAAGCGTCCCTTCTCTTTGGACAGCTGAACCATCTGGTTGTGGTGCTTCACAAGAGCACGCCCTAACCCCGTCTTCTCCCCCTTCCCCATTTTCATGCATCAGAATTCAGAAATGCTTACCTTGTTCCTAGAGGAGGAAGAGGAGGAGGAGGCGCAAATTGCTTATTTCTATCTCCAATAGAAATATTGTGTAAAATTGAATTGATTTTCTCGAGTTTACGTTTTCGGTATTGGCCCAAAGGGACAATAAGGGCTTTGGGCTGAGAATGAGATTTTCCTTTTTAATGAAGAATGAGATCAGGTTGTGTGCAAATGGCGCATGAAAACAATTAGACAAGCATAAATTCATACTCCCCTTGGCTCAATCAAACTTCTATTAGCCCAATATAAAAATCAATGCCTCATTCTGGAGGGCCCCTTTGGATTCGGTCGGACGGTTAGTCGGTTACCGAGAGCAGGTAAGTTGGGATTTGATTGTTGATTAGAGGCAAAAAATGAAACTTGTACTTGGTATTTGCAAAAGTTCTATGCTTAGCATAGTTCCCTCCCAGTACAGTTTCCAAGAACCAAACTCGCTCCCTTGACACTTTTTGCCTTTGCTAACAGCGCATCGCTCAGAGGGGAAGAAGCGTATTTATAAGAACTGCTAGTTGCATTTTTAATGGTGTGATGCACGGGGTTAAATGAAATATTTTCGAGCTTGTTGTTTTTCTTCAATTTTTTTAAAGCAAACATAAGAAAGTAAAATTTGAATTTTCTAAAAACTATTTTCTCTCAACTAAATAGATTCTAAAAGTTAGAATTCAAAAAAACAAAAACTTTAAAAATTGAAGAAAACTTACGTAATCGAACAAAATTTTGTTTAATCACGTGCCACACACATGTTAAACAAATAGTATCTTCAAATATAAAAGTTCATTTGAGAAATTTAGTAAAGGGATTAACATGAATTTAAAATTAGGAAGATATAAAGTAAATGACTAAAGATAGTATAGCTTTGGTAGCGGCATAAATCAAGTATCCAAGATTATGGTCCCGCGAGAAATGAGGCACCCAAATAAATTTTTTGAAAATTGTGCACCCGTTGGGCAAATTCTTCAGTTGGACCTAAAGTCTATTCTCATTATATGAACCTTAATACATTTGTAGTATAAAAGAAGTGAGCCTTTTCAAAAAAGAAAAAAATATCTACATGCAAGCCCATAAAAAATATGAGAATAAAAAATATGAGAAAATCTATATTTTAAATATGAACTTTGAGATCATCTAAATGCGTACTATTTGGACTATCATTGTAGGAAGTACGGAGTATTTGATTTGAAATCACTTGGTGGTTTACTTTATTCTTTTTAAAGGTTTTGATTAGTATATACTAAAGTTACCCTAATTATATTTTGCATTTTACAAACAAGATTTGTTTATAAAGTACAAAAATGAATTGGTGAAACTTTTGGGATAATTTTTTTGCTATAAAAAATATTATCTTTTGAAAAAAAAAAGAAATTTACATACGAGTTCAATGGTAGGATTGGTAGGTAAAAAGGTTTGAAGCACCCAAAGTTATGCTCCGTAAATTACAAAAAGTTCAATAAAATTATGAAAGAGCAAAAATATTCAAAGCCGCGTGAACAAGATTAGTACCGCTAGACAAAGTGACAAATGCCGTTAAGGCTCCTCATTGAAGAAATTAGAGAATACTTTAGGGCTTGTTCTCTTCCTTTATCATCATTAAATCTGTTTTAATTTAATTAAAGTTTGATGTAATATAAATATAGTTATATTTAAAATTGTTTTTAATTCAGTCTGTCTGATCCGATTTCATTGTAGATGTATTTAAAGTTGATTCTAATCTTTTCTAGTCTAATTTGACATTATTCTAAGAAGAATAAATAATGGGTAATAACAATAAGGTGAAAAGAATGAATTCTACTTCATTCTAGTATGTTTTTCGTTTTTGATTTTTATAGTAGAATTATATTAACTTTGATAATCAATTAAATGAAAATTATATTTCCTCCCGTCCCTTTTAATACTTCCCACTATGGCTTGACGTGAGTTTTAAAAGCACTCGAAATACTCTTGAAGTCCCAAGGCTTCAAACTGAGGCTTTAAAACTTCTCTTTTTGTCACGTCAGTTTTAACTTACATCACAATTTTACTGGAAATGGATTTGAAGTCCTAAGACTTTAAATTGGGGCTTCAAACCTCTACTTTTTACATTTTCAATACACATCTTCTAAAGCTCTCTACTAGTATCTCTCTTCTTGGGCTGCTCCCCCTCTTGTGGGTGGTGGTAAGCTCCTTTCATTATTCTAATTTTAAAATATTAATTCATATTTTTTTAGTTGATTTTTTTTCCCCAATGGTTCTCTCTCGTTTGAAAGCTTTGAATGGAGTATACTCTGTACCATTTACTGCACTTAGCCATTTTTGACTGCCAAAAGTGAGCAAATATCACCATCTTGTTCCAAATGGTCTCAATTTCTATTCTTATTCTGGCCAATCCCCAGCTCATAGCACTTGTTTGTGAACAAACTCCCCACCTAAAATTACATAATGCAAATTTCAATTTGACTTGTCCAGTTGTACCCAAATCACGTGTACTTCTTCAGTCAATTCTACAAGTCACCACAGAAGAATACTAAAATTGCAGTAGTTTTTAAATTTTAAGTAGCTAATAGTCATCTGCTTAACAATGACATTGAAGACAGAAAAAAAAACCCATACATAAAGGTTATATGTACACAACAATTAATTAAAAACACAAAGGGGAAGAAAACCCATATCAACAAACATCCAAATATTACATCCCATGCTTCGTCTTGACTACTACTACTACTACTACTTTTACTCTGCACTTTTGTATTCTTTGTTTGTTCCCTCAGTTTTCTTCTTTCTTTGATGGAAAGCTCTTTCCAGGCTTCAGATACACAATTCACTTTGGCTGTGAGGGGTTTCTTTTTTTTTTCTTTTTTTTTTGTTGTTGAAAAAACCCCACCAATCAAACCTGTGTCCAAGAGTGCCTGAATTGTCATCACAACCACCTCAATACAATGCCTTCTCAGCTGCAATTATCAAAAGATGACATTAATGTTTGTACTATGATCATATATTGTTCACTTTTGCAATTAAAACAAACTAGAAGAAAAGGTTTCCATCAATCACAAGGTAGGCCTGCCTTATTAGTCTGGTGACCAACCAGCCCTCATAATTACTACTCTATATTTATAATTATAATAATAATAATAGAGTGATTGAATAATCTTTCTTTAAATTCAGATAATATTGATATAGTATTAGTCAAACTTCCTTCATCAATCTTCACCTACATCTGGAATATATAGCCAAAACAAGCATTCAACACTAATACTCTGCTTATTCCAAATTTAAGTTCCCATTTGCTGTTTCACAGAGTTTTAAGTTTAGACTAGAAAGAAATAATACAAATCACACAAATTTTTCTTTCAAAGAAATGAGAACTTAGTTTTGGAACGACCAAGAAAAGAAAGTGAACTGAATGCAAGGACAGAGGGAGTATGCGTCTTCTTCTTGTTTGCCCATTCATGGATGCTCTTTAGTTTTTCAAGAATCAGCAATTACTAGCACCATTGTGAACTCTTCTTGGGACATGTTAGATGAATTTACTTTGCTTGATCTTCGATTGGGAAAAGCCAGATATGTTTGGTTTGGTTATGTCAAAAATCTACTATTATTAATTATGAGGAAAATTTTCTAGGGTCTATGGGCTTGTTCTCTTCAACTTATCTGATCTGAATATAGTTATATTTAAAGTTGTTTCTATTTGATCTGATATGATTCCAATAAGAACAAGTAACAAGTAAACAGAATAAGTTGAAAAAGCTCTAAAAGTTCACTCTTATAACCCATTTCAAAGCTCACAACAGAGTACTTAACACTTTGGCAGGTTCTCCAAAAACAGCATCAAGAAAAAAAAGCAGAAAATGCCAAATTGTCTAGATTTCTGAACAGTAAAATTCACTCTTTTCTTAAAGTAGGATAAGCTGACCAAAATCTCTCATCCCATCAATATCAAAATCAATTAAAAGCGAATCAAACAATCCATTCCCACTACTGAGTTGCACTGGGTTAACTCTGTAAAACCAGGCTGACTCAGATAAGATAAACAAACCCAAGTTGAATGGGGAAACTTGAACTCACCTGACTCCGGGGAAGGAAAAAAATCTAATCTTTGAAGATCACTGAATCCGCCATTTCCATCAAGGGCTTGAGGCAATCCGAAGAGAATTTCCTGGCGAACATATATGAATAAGTGGAGTTCGATTTCCTGAGAGTGTATATAAGCTCAGGCGAGACCTCCTGAGGATGGTAGGTGTGGGGATGCCCGTCCACTGTGTCGGTCCAATTCACCCGGGTTAATGTGTGGCCCGCCGACCCGTTTGGATTCTGCATTGAGATTAGGGTTGGGAAGTAATGTTCCTCCGGGTAGCAGGATTCAATGTCTATGCAGGGTTTCTTGAATTTCCTCCAAAGCCGCCGATCTTTGATCACCAGCAAAGAGTCCCTGCGGGTGAGGACGAAGAATTGGGACCCGATCCGGAATTCCTGGAATCGGACCTCCGGCTCCATCACGTCTTCTCCCCTGGCAATGTACCTGCTCCACAGAAAGGGCGAATCGGACGAGATCTCTATGTAGCTAGGGTACTGCATTTGGTGGGAGAGCTTACGGGTATCAAGGAGAAAATTGTAAAAGTAACCGAAGGAGTGGAGGGGTATGCAGTGCTGAGATATGAGCGCAAAGAACTCGTTCGCCGGGTCGTCCAACATTGCGGTGGCGATGAGGCGGCGCGCGGCGGAGACGAGAGTGGGAGAGGATCTTTGGGTCCGTTTAGCCGGGATGAACCGATCCTTGAAGACGCCCCCGGGAGGGGAAATGGGGACAGTCGGGTCGGCGTGGATGTAGATGTTGTACAAATGCGGATCCACGGGTGGGGTTCCATTGAAGAAGAGCTCCCAAAGCGGGGCAAAGTAGAGGTCAGTGTTGGTGAGGAAGAGGAAGGCGATTTTGGGGCGGCGGGTGGCGGTGGATCCGAGCCGGAATTTGTTGGAAGGGCCGCCGCGAGAGGGGGGGCGTTTGGGGAAAGTGGTCTGGGCGACGATGGCCTTCTCGAAGAGGGAGAGATCGTCGAGCTCGTCGGGGGCGGTGATGGAGAGACGGCGCGGAGGAAGGATTTTGGGAGCCAAGAGGAAAAGCAGAGGAACGGTGACGAGGAGGGTGACGACGGGGACGAGAATCGAGGATCTGAACATGATTGATCTTTTCTCAAGAAGAGATGAGAGCACAGAAAAACATTGAGCTCTGGGAAATTTGGGAATTCCAAGAATCAGAACCCAGAAAAGGGAAGAAGAAGCGGAATTTGGAGTTTTTAGGTGGTGAGCGGTGTGGCTTGGGCCGGGGACGGTGGTGTCATTGATACTGGAGCGAGTGAGGGAGCAAGTTAATTAATCAAAGGGATATGCTAGGGGTACACCAAAAGTGTACTCCAAATATACACCACTTGTTTCTACACCATTTATTTTATTTTCTTTTTATTTTTTACTTTTTTTTAAAATTTTCTTGCCTTTTTTGTGTGGTGACAAAGGTAACTAAAGATATATTCCCCTCCAAATTAGTACTCTGTATTTTAGTTACTCGAAAAAAATTATTTCATTAGTCAAAAATGAAATTCACGAGCATGCACGTGAAATACCGTACATTTTGGATGTGTGATATAGGTACTCAAACAATAATACTCATCTTTTCCAAATTATTTCCTTCGTCTTAAAAGGTTCTTCACCGTTGCTATTCACACGGTCAAATTCTAATCACTTTTTTAAACCTATTTTCGTTATTTATTTAATAAAATAGCATAGACTTGTCATATCTTACTTTGTAGAAATGTAGTTTTTAAATATATAAATTTTTATTCTTTAATTTACACCTACAATTAAATAAATTGAATTGAAAATAAAATCGATCAAACCTCGTAAACAAAAACGGGAAGAACGTTTTAGGACGGAGGAAGTATCTTATTACGAATAATGAAAATTGACTGATTTTTTTATACTACCTCCGTCCCAGAGTATTTGTCCACTTTCATTTTTGCACATCATCCAATACACTTCTTTAATCCATTTTATCTTGTAATTTGTATATTAAAAAATTATAGAAATTATATATTAATAATCTATATGTTAAGACAAATCAAACAAGATCACACATGACTATATTTAGACTTACACATTGAGAGAATTTGATGAGTCAAAGTGCTTAGATGAACAGTTTCAAAAGTCAAAAGTAGACGAATATAGCGGGACGGAGGGAGTATTAAAACATCAGTGTTCAAAGGATTAGGAGGGACCGACCCAGAAGTGAGGTGTAGACCGACGAGAAAGGAATCTAGCATGAGACGATCCGAAAGCAAAGGCCTTGCCTTGCAGGAGTGCAAATCGTGAAAAAATCACAATTAGGCCAAGGAGACAAGGGTGCGACTCTCGCGCCAATGACTCCTAACTAATCATATTCTATAACTAGTGCTACTAGAAGTGCATACTCTAGCCGCATTATGCATTCATCATTCACAAGTGCCCATGATTTTCAAGTGTGACTTGCTCACACAACCTTTGTTAGAGAAGAATTGATGTATATAAGGTCAACAATCTTCCCCTCAACAATTACTCTCGTTGGGAATCAGACTTATGACCTCGACTCCAATACCACTTGAAGTTATCAAATTTGAAATGGGTTTAAGTTTCACCAAACACAATCAATGCAAGAAGTGACTTCTTGTGTACCTGTGCCAACTTGCACACCTCTCTTATTTGCAATATGTTTAAGTTGATTATTTATTATTCATATGATGAAATTATATTCTTTTTTTCTATTTTAGTCACTTATTTGATAAAATAATATACTCATATTACATCTCGTTTCATAAAACTTTTGATGTTACTTTTACATATGTAAACTTTATAGCGTACTTTTTAATTCTATCCCAATTCTCAAATTAACTGTATTAAAAATAATCTCACACAAACATCATAAATGAAAATAAATGGTTTAAATTGGGACATCGAGAGTAGAGTAAATTCTCAAAATGGTCCTTTATAATGAAGTGTTTTCCCAATTCAGTCCTTAATAAGTTTTAATTACCTAAATGGTCCTTTATAATTGAGATCTATTCTCAATATAGTCCTTTGTAAATAATGTTACTCAAATGATGATTAATTAGGAGATATTTTGGTATTTTGATCATCCAAATTTATAATATATTTTTGAAATTGTCATTTCTGTACAAATAAATTTAAAATTTAAAAAATACATTGACTATAAATAATTCATGAATTATTAAAAACTTAGAAAAATCTTTTGAATTTCAAATAAAATACCCATATTTAATTAGAAAAACCATTATGGAAAGTACTTCATTGTAAATAATGATTTTAAGAATTAATTCTAAATTTAGCGAATAAGAAAATATCCAAATACCATCAATTAATCCTCATTTGAGTAACATTATTTACGAAGGATCATCTTGGGAATAAATCTCAACTATAAAGGACCACATAGGTAATTAAAACTTATTGAGGACTGATTTGGGAAAATATCTTATTATAAAGGACTATTTTGGGAATTTACTTTCGAGAGTATTATTTAGCCTCATAGTAGTGCATTTAAGTATTTAACTCATTGTGTTTGTTACCTCCTATATTCATATTTAGATGATGTTTGGGAGTGATTAACTTATAGATAAAGTGATTTTCACAAAAGCTGAAAGCAGAAGCACCTCCTACCTGCTTCTCCGAAACGGTGTTCTATGTACAAAATAACGGTGATGAAAAACAGAAGCTGACATGCCAAACAAAGTAAAATTACTTCTACTCAAAGCAGAAGCTAAATGATTAAAAGCAGCACATTGCCAAACACGCTCTTAAGTGACTATTATGACTTCTATAGGATAAGATATATCAAAAAATAAATGAATATTGATATATATCATGTCCAAGTTCATTAAAATTTTGATATATCACAAAAGTAATAATGGTCAATTAATACCGACTTGAAAAAAAAAAAACCAAACTCAACACCCGACACCAACTGTGAGTTTCCTTCAGCAGTCAAACCTGAGAGCTTTATAATAATGAATGTATTCTTCAGTTTCATCACTTTTTGCTTGTGGGATTATGAAAGAATGAGACCAAAACAAACATCTTAAATTAGAAACTGAAGGTGTGATAAAATTACTAGACACAATACATCAACATATTTAAATAAAGAATGGCATTTATTACAATAGCAGAGCTTCTCAAGGCTCCACAAATCAACTCTCTCAACTCTAAACCAAGAACCAAAGGAACTGGGAAATCACTCAAACTGTTTATACAGTCCCCGGGGG